CGGCGGCTCTGCCCGCGCCCCTGGCGGCGGCCGCCCTCGCGGCGTCGCGCTCGGCCTCTGCTGACTCAGCCCTGCGCCGCCACTCCCGGGACTCCATGGCTGCTGCCTTATACCTCTCCGCCCGCTCCTTGAAGCACATCGCGTGCCCCCGCCACCGCTCCGCCTCCGCGGTCGCCCGCCGCACGCCGCCTTCCGCCTCGTCGGCTCGCGCACGCGCGGCCGCCGCCGCGTCCTCGAGCGAAGCATTCGCCTCCTGCAGGCGCACGGCCGCGCGGTTCAGGTGCGCCGCGGACGCACGCGCCGCGCCGGCCGCCGCCAACGCGCCCGCCAGCCGCTCCTGCAGCTGCCACGCCTGCAGCTGCTCGCCCGACGCCCCGGCCTCGACGCACGCGCGCCACTCCTTCAGCCGTGCCGTCTCCGCGGCCGCCGCCGATGCCTTTGCGGCCGCGGCCTCCGCGTCGGTTTCGGCTTTGTCACGCGCGGTGAACGCCGCCGACAGAAGCTCCCGTGTAGCTGCCAGCTGGACCCGCAGGCCGTCGGCCTCCGCCCGGGCTGCCGCCAGCTTGGGCGCGCAGCCGCATGACTCAGCGTAGTCGTAATGCTCCTCGTCACCGTCGTAGTAATCGTCGTCATAGGGTCCCCCTCTATAACCATCCTCATCCTCATCCTCCTCCGCCTCGTCCCATTCTGCGCCGCTGTCGTAGCCTTGATCCCCGCAGTCCTGGAAATCACAAGCACGTGTTGGATGAGCCGGGGTTTGTTGAAACTTCTTGGCGGCGCATGGCACATGCAAGACCGCAGATGCAGCTTGAAGGGCTGGAAATCGAAGGGGTGCGGTGCGAGCAAGCGAGCTCATGCAGGCTGCTGCACGCAGGGACGCATGCTGACGTTGCAGCACCACACCATGTGCCCAACTGTCGCTGCGCGCTTGCTCAAGCCCGGGGCCGGACGCGGCTCGCCCCACCTCGTACTCCTCTTGCTCAGCATCTTCCCAGCAGGCACGCGCTTGCTTGCGGCGCTGGCGGCGCTTGCGCTGCTGTTGGCGCCGGCGCCACTGCTTCTTGGTGACCCCGCCACCCTTGCTCCAATACTGGCCGTGGCCGTAGCCGCGGCGGCGATTGTGATAACCGCTTCCATCCATGCTTGAGCGCGCCTGTGCGCACCAGATTCCGTGCCCCACCTGCAACAGGAGGGGCACGGCCAGGATCTGCTGGTGCCTCTAGCTCAATCGCCGCGTGATCGGTTGATAATTGTTACAAAAGCGAGGTTGAACGCCGAGATCCGTGTCATGTCAACGAAGCAGGGCTAGGCGATTCGGAACTTGGGGCAGTCAACCGCTGTCATGCAGAGATGGAGCTCCATGAGGGTCCCAGCCGCAAACAATGATCTTTTGGAATAGGTTAGTCTTAACAGCCAGCCGAGGCGGCCTATCTTGCACCGGCTGGAAGTCTCAAGGTGCGAAAGCCCACTCGGGCTCGGTCCAGCTGCTGACACTTGTGTGTTCGGTACCGTACGTGCTGCTAGTGCTCACAAACAGACCCAAAGAGCCGCTGTGTTCCGCCCCACTCAGAGTCACAAAGATCAAATATCCAAGCTGCAGTACGGGCACCTCGACCTGGCCAGCCGTTACCAGCAACAACCCACACAAACAGCTCCAGCTGCCTTGCGGTGCCACAAAGTGTAAGGGCTTCATCCGCATCCAAATCCTTCTGCCAGCCAAAATTGTACTGCCTATTCCCCCAGCTCCAGAGACGTTCATAGACAAACAATTGTGAAAAAGCAGCACACTGCATGGAATTGGCGCTCAGCTGCTGCAGTGCTGGTGGCTGGGCGCTGACGTCCCACAACGGTGCATGTTAATGTGTTGTGTTTCTGCCGCTTGCCCGTCGCACAAACAACTGCACACTGCTCAAGGGCCCCAGCGGCGGGACCTGCACAGCGCATGTACATATAATGTGCATCCACACGCAGAGGAATCACCAGCGACTGAGACTGCGTGCGGGTGGATGCACAGCCACTCAGGTCTAGGAGTTTACACCCCCCCCCTTGCAGGACCCCAGCTGCAAACCAATTTGTATTAACCACACAATCATCGGATACAGGGGCCCGGTTCCCGTCGCTGCCTCGTCCTCGCCACCGCGTGTGTCCGTTGCCGCTAGCTGCATGGCGTGACTCACTGCTGCACTGTTGCCTGCCCAGCCACCGGCACTCCCTGCTGTGCCTGTCACGCCAGGTCATGGCTGGTGCACACGGTGTGGCGGGGTAAGCAGTATCCGGTTACACTGCGACGCCATGGGCCCACTCTATGAGGTGCGCGCGGCGGTCTTCACGGCTGCGCTGGAGCCGCACCTTTAACATCGCCGTCTTCAGCCAGCAGCACTGCACGCACGTCGGCGCGCGCCATGCATGCAGTGCTACCAGCGCGCTGAGTGGTTCAGCTGCAAGACTGCTGCCCCTTGCGGCGATTGGGGTGTTTAAACGTCACTGGGATCTGGAGGCGCACGCACCTGAAAGTTGCCAGCAGTGGCGGTCGCTGTGATGGCGCTCAACGCGTGGAGCACAGCCAAATTTCAGGGGGCCGCTGCGCGGCTGCGATCTGTCTAGGGCGCGCAGGTTGTTGGGGTCCCTACGCTGCGGGCGGGGGAGCGTGCAGCCTGCGACGCTGCGTGGTGCTTTCCCACGTCTTGCGCTCGTCATGAAGCTGGCAGAGGCGGCGATCCCCGCCCCACTGCGGTCCAGCCGAACGCCGGCGGTCTAGTCCCCCAAGCCTTGTGTGGATGGGGCCAAGCGGCTCAGACAGTAGTGGCGCCGCTGGCATTGGCGCCGGCGCAGCTGATGGCGGCGTGGGCGCAGCGCAGAGTCAGGGAGGCAGCAGTGGCTCTGGCGGCAGCGGGAGTGGCGAGGCCGATGCCAGCCCGGGCAGTGCAGGGGCGGGGGGCGCTGGCGCAGCCGCTGGCGACAGCGGCGGCAACGGTGACGGAGGCCCATGAGGCAGTGGGGGTGGTGGCAGCGGCGGTGGTAGCGGTAGGTGGCAGCGGCACTGGCGGCGCGTTCAGCGCTGTCCTGCCTGGCCAATGCAATGTGTGCGGGCTGGCCTCCCTGCACCGCGTGCCAAGTCAGGCAGAAGATGGTGCACTGCTGACTAAGCACGCCGGCAGTGCTGTGCGCGTGTGCAGGCAGGCCAGTCTGTGGACGCCACCCGCGCCGAGGGGAGGGGGCGCTCTGGGCGCCACCGCTCGCAACCACTTGCCCTGCATGCAAGCGCCCCGCCCTGGATGGAGCGCCTTACCCTTTGCCGGGTCCAGCGCCTGTCGGTTCTGCGGGCCGATGCTGCCTGGTGTGCTTCACAACCAACGACAGGCCCGCTGCCGCAGGGCGTCGACAGGGCTGTTTTTGGCCCGCGCGAGCTCTGGCAGGGTTCCGGGCCGGGTTTCCGCCGCACAGCATCAGGCGGTGCGCGCAGCCCATGTCTGGGGCCGCAGCCGCGGCGCTCTGACACCCAGCAGCACCGCAGTGACGGGTGGTGTCAGTGGCGGCGGGCGGGATGGCGTCAGCACTGGCGCACGTCGGCACGCTTTGGCAGTCGGCGCGGCTGCGGCGAGCGCATCGCCACGTTGCGCCTGTCAGGGCCGGGGCGCCAGCCATGTTTGCTGCTGGTGTCAACCTGGGCGTGTGCGTACGCTGGAGCGGGGGGCATGCGGCAAAGGAGTTAGCGCCGTTGTGATTGCATTTGCTTGAATCCAATTGGCAAAGTTCAACGCTGTGCGATGGTTGCGCCAACTGGGTCACACAACACACATGACATACTCGTCTGCCTGGTGCTTTGCAGCGCCGCCCCGAGCCCGCGCGCTGTGGGGCGGCCGCGTGTCTCATGATTTGACACAGGGAGGCAAGATTGCGCTGCCATGGGGATTTGTTTCCCCATTCACCTAGACGACCGCTGCTCCAACCGCTCCGTATGGAAGGAGGCTTGCATCGATGTCTCTCCTGGAAAGGAGGCGTGCGCCCCCTTACTAATTCCGGACTTGGCTGCACCCGCTTACTCATACGGCCTTCAAGGTTGCGGGCATTACCCCTCTGCAAAGCAAGGGTTTCTCCCCTTGCTGCTTGAAAAGCGTGATGTAATGTCATGTGATGAAATGTAATAATGCATCATCAGTGCAGCTGCGCCTCACACGCCGACACACCACGAAGTGTGTGGGCGTGTTTCTCGCGCACGCCGCGCAGGTGATGTGGACCACAAGGCTAAGGATTCTTATGAGCGTGCATAGAGGCTTCGCCTCTGACGTGCTTGCGGTGATTGTTGGAGAAGCATCCTGCAGGACGGTTGTGGTGCGCCCACCTCATCTTTCCCCAGGGGGGTTGTCAGCGGCATGAAAAGCACAGCGCAACAAACGCACTGCCGGAGCCAGCCGTGCAGTGCAATTTCTGGGCCTGCTGAGCAGGTGCCAGTGTCAACATTAGTGCGGCATGCATGCACACACGCTGCAACTGCCGCTGCAGCGCCGTAAATGCGCGGGTCGTTGCATGGGGCCGCAGTGCTTGATGGGCGGGCTGCGCTCAACAGCATGCCTGCACTGATTTAAATCACTCATGTGATCAGGCGGGGCTGCGCCGCCGAACCACGCACTGATCAAGGCGGGGCGCGGACCCCTTGCATGGTCGCAGCTTTTATTGTATGTGTAGAGACAGACAATTGTGGCACTCCTGCTGCCGCATGCGAAAAGGCTTTTGCTGCCAATCGGAAGCACCTTGATTGCTTGATCCAATTATGCCGCCTCCCTGCCGGCGCCAGCCAGCGGCCTGGGTGTGCTGTGAGTGATTGCAGTGGCCCATTCGGCTTGGAGCCAGTCGTGCACCGGCCCTCATTGTGCAGGACAGGTGTGTCCGGAGCCCCTGAGAAGCCCTGAATGCTGCGCGCGTCCGGAGCCCTGTGCCGCAGGGGCTGCCGGCAGCCCGGCCCCAGCGCCGCGGCGCGGCGATGCGTCTCAAATGCGGTTGAAGACGGGAATGCAGTTGGCGGCGATGGAGGCCCGGGGCTTCTTCCTGTAGACGACCACGTTTGAGGTGTTGACAGACGCCTTGCCCAGCTGGCCGTTCAGGTCAAAGGTGTTGAGGGTCACCGTGATGGGCTGGGGGTTCTTCAGGAAGTTCTTCCTGGAAATGTGAAGGACGCGGATCCCAGGGCAGAGAGCTGTTGAAGAAGGCGCCCTGATGCAGCATGCACCATGTGTTTTTCCACCTGTGCAGCCAGGTCTGCGCCTCGCTGATTTGCGCCCGCGCGGACGCATGCACACCCACCCTCACACCGTTCCATGAGTACGCGCGCGCACAAACGCATGCACGCACGCACGCACGCGCGCGCACACACACACACACACACACACACACACACACACACACACACACACACAAACACACACACACATACACACACACACACCTATGTTCACACATGTCTGCACTGGGTGCCCATGCGCACGCACAGGTGCACGTGTGGACGCACCCTAAACTCCACCAACCCAACCACTCCTAGATAGGAAGTAAACTCCCCCCGCCCCTCGATCTCTCACCCTCTACCCCTCACTCCCACGCACCCCTTCCTCCTCTAAAATCACTCCCGCGTACCCATTCATGCGCCCCACCCACCCCTGAAAACCTCAAGGCCCCTGTTCCCCATCAACACACAGCCAGCCTCACTTGAGAAGGTCCACAGCCGTCGCCGGAATCGGGCGCACCGCAGTCCCGGGCGACACCACCGGCAGGCACACGCGCTTGGTCCTGCCCTTGTTCTTGAACTCGGGCGCGCAGGCGGTGGCGACAACCCTGATGTTGCTGCACTTGTTGCCCGCAGGCACGGTGGCAAGGAGGCTCACGGGGATGTCAATGTTGGTCAGCTTTGTGTCGTTAAGGTAGAAGCAGGTGTTGGCGGTGTTCAGGATGGGCGGGCCGTAGTTGGTGGTGTCGGTCACGGTGATGGTGCAGGCCTGGGACCTGCCGGTGCGCCCGTTAGGATAGTTGACCTGGGTTGACCGAACGTGCATGCATGGGGGGGGGGAGGGAATGGCGTGCAGGCGAGGGG